TATTAATTATTATTATAATTAATTATATATATATTACAATTATTATATATTATAATTAATTATATATATTATATTATAATAATATAATATATAATTATAATATATATGCATAATTATATATTATATTATTATAGTATATACAATATAAAATTATAATATATAATTATAATATATATGCATAATTATTATTATATATATGTATGTATATATGTATATATATATATATGGGTGTATATGTATGTGTATGTATGTGTGTATAGGCCTATGTATATATATGTATGTATGTACATATGTATGTATATTTATATGTATATATATGTGTATATATGTATATATATATATACATTTATACGATTAGACATAACGTATTTCCACAATTTCCACATAATATATACATTCTAAATATACATAAAAACAATAATTTCACCTCATTATTTAAGCAGTCTCCAAAAACACCATCACACACAAATTGTTGAAGTATACAGGTCCCATCGTGACACCGAAACCTATCAAGGCAGTCATGGAACAGATAGGCTGAAATGAAAATTTCATGATGAAATTAAATGCCAGATATGATTATGCTAATGTCCCTACTCTCAAGTAAAGTATAAGTCATGAAGAGGGCCGTCTTAACCTAATCAACTTAAATTTTATTGTTAATACTTTAAGATTTATTTGGCTCCATGCGAAAAAGGTCATAATAAAAAGAAGGAAAAACACATGCTAGCTAAATGAAAAAAACAAATGTAAAGCAAATCCACTAGCGGAGCACTTGCTACTTCATACGGTCAACAGCCTAATCAAGGGTGATTTGTGCAGGCGACAGCTACAATAAAAATCAAGATAAAGATTAATTCAACCTGATCGGAATATATTGAAATCTCATTAAATTAAATGAAATTTATTTATTAAACCAAAATAAAAGCTGTTAGGGTTAGCATAATGGTGAAAATGGAAAAGAATAAAAAAGGGGGAAAAAAACCCAAAAAACCCCAAAAAAACGTGTTTTGGTAATAAGAAGGACTAAAAGCAAAACAGGGTTGGGATATTTGTATCATGATTTGTTGGGGTCTTGAGGGTTGATTTACTGTACAAGATCAATCCCATTTTTCACTATATACGGTATTACTTCGACATTTGGCACTGAAACATGAAGACGTTCCTTACCTGATTTTTTTTCTGCATGTTGCTGAGGTTTTTCCCCAGATTTGCCGAGTATTTCATCCTCGACTTGTTTTGTTAGCTGGAATAGTTATAATACAGCAGATTATCAGTTGTGTTTCATATAGTTCTATACAGTAGTCTAACGTGTTCTAATTTCATTTAGCGTCAACGATGTGAGCAGAGAAACATTTTATGAAGCTGGGATTTGTAGGGTATAGGGTCCAGTGATATACATTTTCCTCATCTGCAGTTTGGAATTTTATTTAAGCCTACATAGTAATCTTTCCTTGCATTCTACGTTTTCTACCTAAGTTGTGGATTGAGTTGCCGACTTTGCATGACTTCAAACATTATTCGCCTATTTGAATATCAGTTCACTGAATAATAATGCTAATCTCTGTAAAGCCACATTCTCATTCAAATGGTAATGGTTTGGGACTTGTAAAACGCATACTACATGGTCCGATCTATACAAAAAACAAAAAAGAAACAAACCAAAAACTAAATCCTGAAGTCTAACCAAGCGATCTTAAAAGAAAACATCAGAAACAGACTATCGCAGGGGAAACAACATCACCGCACCGTTTTCCTGCAATTTGAGACCACTGTCAAGCAGTGGTTTGCAGGATCATAACTCACAGATGCTCAAGTGATGTTGACGTCTAGCCTATCCTAGAAAAACTAAACGATGGAAGTAAACAAAAACGGTAAACAGCAGAAATGGAAAAATTTAAAGTTTGATAAAGGCAGGTCTTGAGTCTCTCCTTAAAAATGGATACAGAAGGAGACTCTCGGATTTCAATAGGGAGTGCATTCCATAGCTTTGGAGAAGCAGTTTGAAAGGACCTCTCTCCATATTTAGAACGAATTAAAGGGGTAGATAAGGTATGGACATGTGGTGGAACGAAGACTTCGATAACATGTTGATGACCGGAGATGAATAAGATTAGTCAGGTACGAACGTGGTGAGTTGTGGAGGCATTTAAATGTATGAACAAGGATCTTAAATGTTATGCGCTGTTACTTGAAGCCAGTGAATTGTTTTGAATGTGGGGGTGATGTGTTGAGTTTTCGGTATTTGTTTGACGAGACGTGCGGCAGTATTTAATTGAAGTTGAATTCGCTTGATCGATGCATTTGGTAGTCCACACAAGATTCCATTACAGTAGTCGATTCTAGATGTAACAAGAGAGTGCACAAGTTTCAATGTAGCCTCTTCGTTCAGAAACCGTCTGATATGCTTAATCTATTAATTACAAGACAATTTAATACTAACATTGATAATTATTCTTCCATCGACAGGAGTAACATTTGACTAAGTGATTGATTTGAAAAAAAAAAAAGTTCCCTGATGATCTGTCTAGGCTAATCTTACCTCTGGTTTTGTAGTTCTAACTGAACTGGCTGCAACGATTAGTAAAACTATACATTTTGAAAACATTTTGTGTTCAATTCCTTTAAGAAATCGTCGTTCATTTCACGCTCTACACAGCCGCACCTATCGAATATTTACCTCACTGAATATGCAAATATATTATTTGCATAATGTGTACAGTAAATCAACACTAGCACTAAATAGGACCAGCTTGTACATATTGAAGGTTGCTAAATTTTGGTTTTCAACATATGTTGTCCTGATTTGTATAAGAGACAGTTCTAGATGTAACAAGAGAGTGCACAAGTTTCAATGTAGCCTCTTCGTTCAGAAACCGTCTGATATGCTTAATCTATTAATTACAAGACAATTTAATACTAACATTGATAATTATTCTTCCATCGACAGGAGTAACATTTGACTAAGTGATTGATTTGAAAAAAAAAAAAGTTCCCTGATGATCTGTCTAGGCTAATCTTACCTCTGGTTTTGTAGTTCTAACTGAACTGGCTGCAACGATTAGTAAAACTATACATTTTGAAAACATTTTGTGTTCAATTCCTTTAAGAAATCGTCGTTCATTTCACGCTCTACACAGCCGCACCTATCGAATATTTACCTCACTGAATATGCAAATATATTATTTGCATAATGTGTACAGTAAATCAACACTAGCACTAAATAGGACCAGCTTGTACATATTGAAGGTTGCTAAATTTTGGTTTTCAACATATGTTGTCCTGATTTTATTATATAGTATGAGTGGAATGTAAATATAAATTAATACATTGTATATAGGCCGTAATTACATTCAGGGGAATTGTTAAGTTCAGTCAGTGTAACAACTAAGAAATCGAATCCAATAAATACATGTCATGATTTCGTATATTTGTAACATTTTTTAAACATATTCTGTTTTATTTGATAAAATTACAAACATATTAGATCTGTACTAGCTGAAGCAAACATTTCAATATTAATATGATCTTTCGTTTTAAACCTTCAACACGGCTATTTACATCAACATGGTTTACAAAATACACCCTCAAATCAGCTGGAATTAGTAAAATTCAAATTAACCAAAATATTCAGAAATATCGTTTGGTTATACAGCGGACTAAGCAAGGTCATTCCTTGGAGTTATCGATGTCCATTTGCACCGCACGCATACCAAGCACACAGTTATGGCCGCAGCTTCCAAGAGCAATAATTGGATTTTTATTTTGGTTCTTTTATTGAGTCTGGTATACGCATCTGAGAGTTTTGTTGAAAAACTGAGGGTAAGATCGCATATTCACGTTTATTTCTTCTTAGCTACGTGCATACATCGATGTCTAAAGTTTATTACATATCTGTGGTGAATCTTGTCATTGTGTTTAGATACGATGTTAGCTGTGTGTATGCTTAAAGAAATAGGTCGACTGGTTACGATAACATTTGGGAAACAATTCAATAAAAATGAAGTGCTCTTGAAAGAACCTATTAAGTTATTTACTTCTAATCAGACGCAGATTTCCAAACTTGTTACAACGAATATCCTTAAATTGATGCGTAAACGTACGCAAATACTGTTATAGAACGTGGTAACAAAAATAATACATATTACTATTATAACAAGTCGTCGACGTTTTTAACGTTACTGTAACATACATGTAAAGAGTATTAAACGTATTTCAAAACAAGCGTTATGTTTTTCAGCATTCAAAGAAACGCATAATCCAAGAATCGGCTAAAATTAAACAAAAAGAAGGGAGCCAAAAAGGTGAGTTTAATGTTGGTATGAAACCCCTTGCTTAAAATACCTCCAACAAGGTAACCAAAAAGTACTTAGTACCTATAATCCTACAAACTATAGGGTATACACTTCTAGGAATATAATGTAGCATATTCTTGTGCAATTAGACATGTGCTCCAACATCGGGAATGTCATCAAACACTACGGATACAAAATGAAGTGCATGTATACAGTACGGTACATAATTGTAGTTGATGAATAGTTACTGACATCCAACAGCTTGGTTGAAATTGTTAATCACTGCGTAGGGCTACAAGAAAACAAATATTTTGAAATTCTACGATATCCGAATCTACAAATATATCCAGTGAGAATAATAGGCAAATTTTACATAATTGTAGTTGATGAGTATTTACGGATATCTAACAACTGAGATAAAATTTTAAATCACTGCGTAGGCCTATAAGAAAAACAAATATTTTGAAAGTCAACGATATCCGAATCTACAAATATATAAATTTAGTGGATGATAGGCAGATTGCACTAATTGTATGAGTAGTTACTGATATTTAACTGAGTTGAAATTATTAATCACTACGTAGGCCTACAAGAAAAAAAATTCTACGATATCCGAATCTACAAATATATTCAGTGAGAATAATAGGCAAACTGTACATAATTGTAGTTGATGGTAAATCTATACTTCTACTGACATCTAACAACTGAGTTGAAATTATTAATTACTGCGTAGGAATACAAGAAGAAAAAAAAAATCAAAATTCTACGATATCCGAATCCACAAATATATTCAGTGAGAATAATAGCAAATCTGACATTCAATTTTGTTACCTAATTTCAGTGCAAAATGAGCGCGATTACTGTGATGGATTTCTCTGTGAGAATAACTTGTGCCTACCAGAACATTACGTCTGTGACGGAACACCAGATTGCATCGGTGGAGGGGTGAGTGATACGTCCTACATGAATAAAACCTACGTCACCAATACTTGTTACTAAAAAAGTGACATTCATTTCTATTATTAAAAATGTCAGGTACCCACCCAA